CTTTTCTATTGAGAGTATACAAATTATGAAGAATGTTCGGAGAGACCTTGCACTACTGTAGAATCACCCACTATTTTCCAGTGGCACTAAGCCTTACAGTTCAGACCCACAGAGGTTCCCTTCAGAGTTGGTACACTTTTGGGATAAGTTGATTGTTAATTCAGAACATGAATGTGTTAACCAGCTACGACCTCAAATGTTGTTTTATTTCAGTGCCAGGAATAATGTACTGTGAAGGCATCACTTACCTCATTAATCAGCTACTTACTTACAGAGTATTTATAAATACTCTCTCTACTAAAGTTTTTTTTCCAGATGATCGCATGAACATGCAAGGGTAGTGACCAGAAAGTGTTTCAATTAGGCATCAGGGGAACAAAAGATACCAGAAACAAACGCAAATTCAAGAAAATGGCAATTATAACTATCCTCTAAAACCTTCCCCGCACCAAATTACGTCTCACTCCCACCAAAAAGAAGTGAAAAGAACACACAGACCTGAAACGGAGGAGGATAAAATTGGAGTTATAATTAATAAGTTATGAGGCGCACAGTGAATATATTAAGAATTTGGTGAAACAAGAGATGAAGTTGAGTTAATATCTGGCCCCAAACACCCCCTCAGTTTTAATAATACGTTTTAACTAATAAATTTAAGATTTAAGCGAAGAAATTAAATTAACTAATTGAAATGCAATGTAAAGGGCAGGGTATTATTTAGTATAACTTAATAAATAAATAAATAAAGCTTCCAAAAGATCAATTCAGTTTGTTATTGATAACGATGGTTGGAGAAAGAGAGTTGTCTAAATGAATTGAGTCGTTCATGGCAATGACATGGTCCAAAGAAGTGAGAGTTTCCGTGGGCCGGAAGCAGAGAACACGCGTCGAGTAGACATTGGAATGAGACAGAGTAAAAATTATCCATTAATTTGTGGCGAAGTATTAGGCAGCAGGCGGCTCACCCTCAACTGTTAAGTATCTATTTTATTATTATTATTATTTCTTTTGCCCCGGGTGGATCCCGTGACCACCTTCATCACTGTAGGGATCAAATATAGTTTATAATTTTCGTCTTTGTCATTATGAGTACGAGATATTGATATGGTTAATAAAGTAATCTTGTCGGCAGGTACTGCAATTTGTAGGGTCCAATTTGTCCTACTCATGAACGGTCAACCGTCAATGCGGGCCTCGCCCAACCAACAATGATCATAAAAGCACGTGTAGCTAACGTGGCAAACTGTCATAACAAACAATAACCGTGACCTTGTCCTTTTGTCTTGGCTTGGGGGTGGTAATGGAAATTACATCCAACCCCTCCCCCAACCTCTAAATTAATTCGCTTTCCCAGGCAAACATAGTTTCATATAAACAAAATTATCTTCTAACAAAAATATTTTTTTTTTTTCAATACATATTTATATCCACTTTTTCTTACCTTCCCAACAACCTCTAAGTTTCAAAAAAAAAAAAAAAAAAAATCATTACAAAACAGTCCAAAATTTTTAATTAAATATTTATACTAGTCCATTTAGTCACGGAGTTGAAAATTAAATACCTATTACTCATCACTATTAAATTATAAAGTAAAATAAAAGAGTAGAATATACACCTTGTATACATCGTTTAACAACGTTCATCACTTACATCTATGTTTTTTCGTTTCATCTTTTAAAATATAGGTAAATAACTATTTATTTAAAAAAATAAATAAAACATAAACATTTTTGGATAACAATATTTTGTTTATTACTCATATAAAATTTAAATAAAAAATAAAAATTATTATATAAAACTAAGTTTTAAAAATTAAATATGTACCATAAGTTTTAAAAATTAAATATGTACCATATTATGCCATATTGTTTATTATGCATTTTATACCTAAGAATGATAAAATACTATGTTTATTTATGTTACAAACAAAAAGTGGAATAGAAATAAGAAACAATAAACTTAGTTTTGCTATTTCTAAAATTTTGGCATAATTATAACAATATTTCTAAAATATAAAAAAACAAGACACAAGAAACAATAACCATTAGCAATTTTTTTTTGTTTCAAACAATCGGAAACACAACCCATAATAATATCATATTTACTCTAAAATAATGTTAATTTTGATTATTATGAAAAGAGACTAACATTCTTATTTAGTTTATTAAAATCGATTAAATTGTAAATTTAGTTTTTATAGCTTATAAATAAATGAGAATTTCACAAGATTTTAGTAAATTATACAAACTAATTATAATATTTAAAATTATAGATAAATTATGATTTTGTTAAATTAATGGATGAAATATCAAAATTAATTATAATAATTACGTGGATAATGCGTGTGAAGAAATGACATGAAGGGGAGGTGAGGACCACATCACAAAAATGGAGGTGCAATATATGTTTACCTAACGCAAACTCAGTATCCTCGTCGACGCTGACATATGTACACATCAGAGAGGTACATGCAATCCAATCACAGTCAGCGCCATGTATGATGCCTGCCCAAGTGGCCAAGTCTCATTTCCCACCTTCCTTTTTTCAACTTTTGACAATAACATTAACAACCAGCTCTTCTCCCGTGTTTGACAAATTTTTTATATATATAATGAATAATAATAATAATAATAATAAAAGCTCCTCTACTATTTATTTTATTATTTATTAGAAAAATCTGCCGTAAATGCGACGCACATGGCGAGAATCCAGTCCAGGCCTATTGAAATAAAATATTTTAACTTTAGCGTCGGGCCCTCTAGAGAGAAGAAAAGGTGTTTAAATATCGAGAACAACGGCACTACAGTACTCGTCCCACGCTTCTCGACTCAACTCTCCCTCCATTCCTCCCCTACCGTTGCGTCTCGCATTTGGATGCGTGAATCCCCATTGCCACCTACTTACCCGCCCACCGCCCCGCATTGGCGGGGTGCACTACATTCAAATTAAATCGAACTCTATGCCACGCCCCACTACTTTAAATTCAAGATTATACTTATTTTCATTTCCCCTAATCCATATATTTACGTAATATATTCAATAAAAATATATAATATTTTAATTCAACAACCCACATTTAAAAATATTGATAAGATGTAGTGTATTTGATTTCAATTTACTCGAAAGGAATGGATTACTTTTAAAAAATCAAGAAATAAGACATTCTTTCAAGTGATTAAGGAGGTGAGAATGCCACGTATAATAGATTTTAAATTGTACCTAAGATCTATGATAAAATGATAATTTGTGATCATTTAATTAAGTATTAAGTTCTTAAATTTTGAAGTGATTATTATTGTCTGTGGAGAGATCGTCCACTTATAAATAGAGGCTTTGTTGATATGTGTCACAAAAACATCATAATTAGCTACCAATATGAATATGAATACTGATAGGAATTCCATTGACATGTGTCATGAAAATATCATAAATTAGCTACCCATATGAATATAAATGCTAATAATAAGATCTACAATATATATGAACCCATACACAACACAATAAACTTTAGTTTGTCACAATTTAACTAAAACTTTTATCAAAATTAGACCTTCCAATTTTTTTATTATACCATTAGAATTTTAACCAACCAATAACTACTTTATTATTTTTTAAACATGGGTGCAAAAGTAATTTTGTAATAAAAACAATCAACCTCATTTTTTTGCTCATCTATAATTTCATTTGCCCTCTAAGTCATCACCTTGACAGTCATTGTTGACTAATGACCATCAGATTATCCCTTTTTGAAAGTCTTATATCTTGTCAAGGATTGTGTTGAAAATATCCCTTATCTTGTAATTCATGAATTTAGAATAACTAGATAAAAAAAAAAAAAAAAAAAAAAAAAAGTTTATTTGAACAAAAATTAATTTTTGTATAACCAAGTTAAAAGATTTAATATTTAAAATAGGTTTAATATAATTTATTGTTTGATTTTAATTGATCAGAGTGGTTCTTTAAAAATCTAAATAAATAAAAAAATGCTCAAAATGAATTAATTTAAATACATCTTTTTGAACCAGATGAATTATCTAAAAATTACTTTAAATAATTAACAAAAATCCTTTAAATATGCAATAAATAACTAAAAATAAAAATATATAAATTATTTTTGAGTGCACACCCATCAAAATTAAATATGTATTTGATATTAGGTATTGAATTCATTATTTCCCTCCATGGAAATTTTTAATATACAGATTTTTTTGAATAGATTCGTGTAGAGAAGCAAAATAACTATTTAATATTGAGAGAAGAAAAATATATGATGAACATTGTCTAGTGAAAAGGGGCAAAACATTTAAGAATGCGTTTTTCTGGTCAAAAGCATTTAAGAAAACCCTACCTCTGGATAATATGGAATGGATTATCAACCAAATGACTTGTCATATTTCTATTCAATTATATGAATGGATGAAATAAATAATAAACACAAATAATAATAACAAAAAAAATTAAATCACATTTAACGTTTAAATCATTTATCTATATTTGTTTGTTAGTCTTACCCGCCTCTCCTCATCATCTAATAATTCATTAAAAAATATATTCTATCAAACAATGCATAATTTCCACATTTCTAAATATTTCACGAAATAATCTTAACTCATCTCCAACTAATTCACTTTCTATAACTTTAAATGTTGTTAATATTAAATCTTAATTTTTAACTATTTTTTAAATACAAAATAAAAAAAAATTACAAAGAAGGGAAAACGAAATTTAAAACAAATCCAAATATGAAATATGAATTATGAATCGAATTAATAGAGAGATTTAGGTAGGGACCTAGGGTCGGCAGAGCCCATATGAAATGTGAAATATGAATGGAATTAATAATGGGAGATTTAGGTACGGACAGAGGGTCGGCAGACCCCAAAAGCAATGTAGGCAACGAAAAAAAGCGTGATTGGGGAACATGGCGGTCTGATCCACCCTCTCTCATATTCATTTATTTTAATTCAATAAAATGCGGGATTCCAGGTTTTAAGTTATATTATTTGCGTCATTGGATTTGGGGTGTGAAAGCTTAGGGATTGTGTTATATAAAGGGAAAGGGAGCAGTCCATGTTTGGCAATGTCATTCATTCTGGTTTCATCATCCTCTTGCTTTTTCTCATACTTTCTATCCCTCTTCACTTTCATCCTCTGCCTCTATATTATTAGTATTCCAACGCTATCGGAGGAGTAGCGAAATCAGATACCCACCGCCTTCTCTCACGCTCACGCCTCTCTTTTCCCACGCCCTTACACTTAAACTGCTGCTAAAAACTCACTCACTCCCCTTACTTCTGCTTCATTACCTTCCTTGATTCTGAATCCAGGTTCGTCCTTATTTCAAGCAAAAGCAAAAGGAAAAGGAAAATGAAGTACGTGCTGGTAACTGGTGGAGTTGTAAGCGGTCTCGGGAAAGGAGTTACTGCAAGCAGCATCGGTCTGCTTCTCAAGGCCTGCGGCCTTCGCGTTACTTCCATCAAAATTGGTCTCTTCCTCTTCTATCCTCCTCGTCTTTGCTTTTTAAATCATGTCACACTTGTAAACGCTGCTCCACTTCAAACTCCTTCCCCCATAACCTTCTCTTTTTCCTTCCTATAGTGTTTCCCTTTTGTTTGCAACTTCTAATGCTTAACACGTTTCCAACTCTGCTCTATTCTTCTGCTTCTCTGTATCCTACTTTTTCGAATTTAGACAACCCCATCTTCCGATTCTCAATTATAAAGAAATTAACTCAAGATGGTCGATTGCTGCCACTACTCGTTTTTTCTTTTTCTTTTTCTTTTTCTTTTTTCTCTCTCTAAATTTTCAGCATCAACTTTCATGGCTTTGTTCGACTCTACTGCACCGTCTTGCAACTAGCAGTTGTTCAATGCTTGATATCTTTTATTCTGTAATTTCAGATCCGTACTTAAATACAGATGCGGGAACCATGTCCCCTTTCGAACACGGAGAGGTTTTTGTGTTAGATGACGGTGGTGAGGTATGCGATTTCCCTTTTTATTCCCCTTCTCTTTTTTCTTTCACCTTTCTTCAGTATATGGTTTCTAACATCAGCAAGTACGGATAAATCAGACTTTATTACGCTAATTATATCTATAATAGTTGGAGTGGACTGTCGCTAAGTCCACTCCAACTATTCAATATACACTAATCAATATACGTGCTTCATACGAATTGATTGATATGAGTACGCAGCACGCGTTTTAAATTATTGGGACAAAGTCTGTAGACGTGCTGAACATTGCGTGAAACTGACCATGACCTTACCAAATCGTATTTTCTTTGTTGTTGTTGTACATTCAGGTGGACCTGGATCTTGGGAACTACGAGCGGTTTCTAGATATCAAGTTGACCCGCGACAATAATATTACGACTGGGAAGATCTACCAGGCAAGTTTTCTTATGCAAACGAGTGATATCTACAGTACGCATATAAATTAGTGTTGCAGGAAGATCACCAGTCCCAGATGTGAACTAATTGCTAAAGTCATTGTTTTTGGGATCTGGCAGTCGGTTATTGATAAGGAGAGGAAAGGGGATTATCTTGGAAAAACTGTCCAGGTATTTCTTTCTGCCAGTTTCTTGGGTAAAGTTTTAATGTCAATATTTTCTTGCTAGGAGAGTAATGTTTTATTACCATTCAACATTTCGCATCTTTGTTTTCTATCAGTCTTATAACTCCTTGATTTATAGGTTGTTCCACATATTACGGATGCAATTCAAGAATGGATTGAGCGTGCTGCTTTGATACCAGTTGATGGCAAGGATGGTCCAGCTGATGTTTGTGTGATTGAATTGGGTGGAACTATTGGTATGCAATGTGGACATTGATTGATACGTTACAATTGAGTTTATTCCTGTCACTTATTTATGTCCTAATCATTTAGTTGGTTGCAGGAGACATTGAGTCCATGCCATTTATTGAGGCACTTGGACAGTTCTCATACCGTGTAGGTAGGAATTTTGGTGGTGGGGTGGTGAGTTACTGTTCGTAGATTCTAGTTTTTGGTCTTTCTAACCGCTGTTCCATTCAGGTTCTGGTAACTTTTGCCTAATTCATGTCAGCCTTGTGCCTGTATTGAAAGTTGTTGGAGAGCAGGTAAACTCTCTCCATCTCACATTATATGGATATGGAATGAAATGCAGCATCTGTACATGATTTGGCAGTTCAAGTAATTTTTTGTTTAAATTTTATTTCTAATGTGGTTGGCTTTTTGCCATGTTCAGAAAACAAAACCTACTCAGCATAGCGTTAGGGGTCTACGAAGTCTAGGCTTGACCCCACATGTTTTGGCTTGTCGCAGCACAACGGTTAACTACTATCTTATTTGTTTTTCTCAACCATTGGCATATATCTGGTCAACTGTAGCATTCTTTATGTTATTCTGGCTCAGGATTCTATTTGTTTCAGGTTCTTGATGAAAATGTGAAGAGGAAGCTCTCTCAGTTTTGTCATGTTCCGGTATTAGCATCCTCAGAATCCTGCATTCAACATATTGCTTTGTATCTATCAACCCCTTTTGTCAACTTTTACATTTTGATACAAATAACTTCTTCTAGGTGGACAGCATCATCACTCTCTACGATGTTACTAACATCTGGCATATTCCTTTACTTTTAAAAGTAAGTTGGTTTCATATAAGAAATGACTTTTTTCTTAGCGAATGCAAATATTGAACCTTCTTTGTTGCCTATTAGGATCAAAAGGCACATGAAGCAATCTTGAAAGTGCTGAATCTTCACAGGTTTGTTTGATGAGCTCACTCCTGATTAAAACACTCATCAAGTTCTATTTGTATCTCTCATTTTTTCGCACCCCTATTCTCTGCCATAAGCAGTATAGCTGGTGGCCCTGCTTTAGAGGAGTGGACTGCTAGAGCTGAAATTTGTGATTCGCTGCATGAACCGGTGGATTCCTACACTCCATCGTTTGAATTCAGGTTTTAGCTTGTCTACTTTCTTAGTCTTTTAACATTTTTTTTATTATTTGGCGTGAACAGGTTCGTATTGCCATGGTTGGAAAGTATACGGGGCTTTCAGATTCCTACCTTTCTGTGCTGAAGGTACAACCAGACATCAATTTAAGATCTTAATATTATAAGCCGGCAGTATAAGAAGTAACTGGAAATTAGAATTGTCATTTGTGCATCCATTATGGTAGTGTATAGATTCTAGAGTGAATTGTCACTTTCACATACAGTGGATAACGTGGACTGTATTCACAATCTTAAACTGTAAATCACTTTTGAACAAACAACAGCAGCGTTGTTTGCATGATCTATCACCAAAAAGTCAATGCCTTAAAAGCATCATTTGGTCATACTTAGTTTACAATATTATAATCAGTGTTCTAAAAAGAGTTTTTATGTGCTGAGTTCTCCTGTTTCTTGCTTAATACTGTGCTCGGCAGCTCATATCAAGTATGCTCCTCGATACTCTACTTATTTGACAAAATAGGGATTTTTTCTCCATCCATTTGTAAGAGCCGCTCTCAAACATTTTTCGTTCTGTTTAGCTTCTCCTTTTCCCTTTTATTATGCTAACAAATAAAGAAACATTCTCAGCATGTGCTAAAAATAGATACTAGATATTTTACTTCTATGTTTCTAATAATATATTTTGCTGTGACTTACTCAAGCCAGTATCCTCCTTGCACCTACAAAGTAATTTTGACCGTGAGTTTTGTAAGCTTCAAGAAGAAAGTCATTCCTAATATTAGAAGGAAGTTGCTACTTGTTCTTACCTTTTAAGTCTCAACATGTCCAAATAGGAGTGTTGAAATCATGTATTACATTTAAGATTCAATGGTCTGTTTCATTATATTGTCATAAATTAAACGTTTTAATTTTTGAACACTAGTGTGATTGTGACGTCATTAACATGGAAATGATAGACTCTATTAACTCATGCATTTTTCTGTCATAATTAAATGTTTTAAGCTTCCTGTAGTGTATATTAGTATTTGAACTCTGCTGTGTTTAGTAGTTTACTTTCTTAGATTCCATTTTCTTTTGTGCTATTATGGCCATTATCTAGGAAATCTGTGAGAAAATAAAGAAAAGTAAGGAAGGTTAGTTTGATGTTGTGCTTGCAGGCGTATTATTTAGGAGTTTGTATGTTTGTTAGAGATTTGTGATTCTAAATACTGTGGGTTGGGAGCTAGTATCTGAAATCATATTACATCATTGTTTTGAGAGGGCATCATTCTTTCATGCAACTGGAAAATTTTTGTGTACTGCATGTATAATTTGTTTTAACATAAACTTTTTAATTATATGAGATATCCCACATTGGTTGGGGAGGAGAACGAAATACCCTTTATAAGGGTGTAGAAACCTTTCCCTAGCAGACGTGTTTTAAAGCCTTGAGGGGAAACTTGAAAGGGAAAGCCAAAGTGGACAATAACGGCTAGCAGTGGGCCTGGAAAATTACAAATGGTATCCGGAGCCAGACATCGGGCGATGTGCCAGCGAGGAGGCTGTCCCCCAAAGGGGGGTAGACATGAGGCGGTGTGCCAGTAAGGACGCTGGGCCCCGAAGGGGGTGGATTTGGTGGGGGTCCCACATCGATTGGAGAAAGGAACGAGTGTCAGCGAGGACGCTGGGTCCCGAAGGGGGGTGGATTTGGTGGGGGTCCCACATCAGTTGGGGAGGAGAACGAAACACCCTTTATAAGGGTGTGAAAACTTTTCCCTAGTAGACGCGTTTTAAAGCCTTGAGAGGAAGCCCGAAAGGGAAATCCCAAAGACGACAATATCTGCTAGGGCTTGGGAAATTACATTATAGTACTTTATTGATAAATTTGTGTTTTTTTATATGTTATTTTAGAAATTTTTAACACGGGTATTGTTCTTACATGCAACTAGAAGCTTTTCAGATGAGAGTGTATAATGTATTTTAAGAAATATTCCTTAACTTTAAGACTTCAATAACAGTTTTATGTTTTGGTTTAAAGTTATTTTTGAAATTTTAGCCTTACTTTTTTATATGATAAAGAACAACATTAGTTTCAGAATTATTTTTTAAATTTAAATTTTGTTAAGATTCAAGAACCTTTTTAGTTTAATCTGATTCATTTTAAATTATTTTAGTGTAAATAAAAGTAAGCATAAATTAGCATTAATGAGGCTTGAGGGTAGGTTTGGATTTAAAGTTTATATAAAGGACGAGTAGGTTCGAGAATGATCGCCACCTATCCCATCTTTTAACTTTTAATAATTATTATTGTAATATAGTAAAGATAAAAGATAAAAGATAAATTTAAAGATGTATCTGTGTTCCTGTCTTTTGATTGAAGTATTTTCATGTTTGTTTAAATATTTGCCTGCATCCCGTTGTATGGTTCATTTTCCATAGCATAAATATTGGTGTCGAACAAAATTCTGTGATAATTTTGTGAAATGTCCTTGTTTTATGTCTTTAATGCATTGGAACATAGTACTAGACCATACGATGCAAATTTATTTGCACAATTGTTTTGGATGTTAAATGTACTTCATCATTGCTTTAGAGACAGATATCTTATACAAAATGCAATACTCTATGCAGGCTCTTAAGCATGCCTCCCTCAGATGTCTAAAGAAACTCATTGTGGACTGGGTTCCAGCTGGAGATCTTGAAGATGTTACGGCTCAAGAGGTTTTAGAGTAGAAAGCTTGATGTTTTCCCCTTATATTTTTTACCAGTAGTGTGCCTAATACAGGAGACTTTTTCTACTGCAGAATCCAGCTGCTCATAAGGCTGCTTGGAAGCTTTTGAAGGTATGTATCATAAATGGTTCAAGGATTCTAGACTTGCTGCATCGCATGGCTCCTTTGGATTTTACTATTCTTTCAGTTTGGTAGCTTTGTTTTTCGACATTCTAATTAGCCACCATCTTCAGGGTGCAGATGGCATACTTGTTCCAGGTGGTTTTGGTGATAGAGGAGTGGAAGGGAAAATCCTTGCAGCTAAGTATGCTCGAGAAAACAAAGTTCCTTTCCTCGGCATATGCCTAGGAATGCAAATTGCTGTCATTGAGTTTGCACGATCTGTTCTTAATTTGAAAGATGCTAATAGCACTGAATTTGATACCAGCACAAAGAATCCATGTGTTATATTTATGCCTGAGGTATTTTCTAATGAAGTTTTTTCCTTTGGGGACATTGTGGTTCTTATTCCTTTCTGTGCACTTTTTTTAATCTTGTGCTATTTTCTCAGGTGTCTAAAACACATATGGGCGGAACCATGCGCCTTGGTTCTAGGAGAACATATTTTCAGGTTATGGATTGCAAGTCTGCAAAACTGTAAGTATTCTCTTTTTAAGAATTGGATGTTTAAATTTTTGCATCATGACACTGAAAAAGTGTATGGGTACTGAGAACTCATCATAAATAAATGTATAATATTTCATCCAACTTGCATAATGTTTCTAGGTATTTGAAGATCAAAAAAGAAAAAAAAAAAAAATGATGTTTTAGGTATTTGTTGCTAATTCGACGCATGTGATTTCAAATGTTCTAGGTATGGGAATAAAAGTTTCATTGATGAGAGACATAGGCATAGATACGAGGTAAGTTAAGTTACTGTTGATTTTTAAAATTTTCTTTTAATAGTAGAAGCGTTTAACTAGAAAAAAAGAGGAAAATTGAACCTGGGCAGGTTAATCCTGATATGGTATCGCGGCTTGAAAAAGACGGACTCTCTTTCACTGGCAAGGACGAAACAGGTCAGCGCATGGAGGTATGAATTCCTACCTTATAATAAACAAATCTTATGTCAAAATAAGCATGTAGTGCCTCTAAAATGATTGGTATGTTAAATGATTTAGATTGTTGAGTTGGCTTGTCATCCATACTTCATTGGTGTTCAATTCCATCCCGAATTTAAATCAAGACCGGGAAAACCTTCTGCATTATTCTTGGGTATGTTCTCTCTCATCCCCACATGTATGTGCTTGATGTTAAATATTAGTCTTGTGCAAGCAAGTAATTTTTCGTTTTTGGTTCCAATATTTTAGCCGAGTATCAATAATATACTACATTTTATGATGAAAAACAAGATTTTACTCTCCTTCAAGGACCTTTGTCAGTTTTTTGTATCTTACAGTAGGATATATATGTCAGATGAGCAGTTACAGAAATACCATTTTATTCTTCATTATTGGCCAAACACGTAATACTCCTTGGTCTTTTTGATAGAGCAACCTTTGATGTTGTATGGTGGGCTGGAGTGGGAATTTAGAAAGTTTGAGCATATAGGTCTCAAATAATACATCACTCGTATCTATGTTATGTCTTAAGGTAATAATATTATCAATTATTAGTGACTGGTAATATCTAGCGGCTTTGAGTGTTCACAATAAATTGTGGAGGTGCTATTTTGACATCTGTGAAACATGCCTAGTTTGGTTAATGTGCCCCTTTCATTGTTAAGTCTAAGCAAGAGGCAACATGAGGCGCTTGCGGGTTGGGCGCCTTTATTAAGATGCTTGCCATGTGCAACTTTTTATTGACATGAACATATATGTTAATTCCATGTGCACTCATCTTTTTATTTTTATTTGATATTTTTTGATACACGTGCACTCATCTTATTAAAGAACGAACTCTCGATCGAAACTCCTTTGTCCATTGTTTTTTCTCTAATTAGCATAGTATAGAGTGGGGAATGAAGTAAAGATCGATAGATTATTCAGGCTTGGGGCTGTTAGGTCAGGTTTCTCCTTTTATTCTTCTTCTAGCTTCAACAAGAATATTCTTTTTGCCATTTATTCTTCCTTACGTATTCATCATTTGTTCTTCGTTGTTTATGTTCTTCGATCTTCTTCAGTATTACAATCTCTCTTACACATGCGCACACACTAACATTTTTCTTTCAACCAGCTACTGGTAATCACCCACCATGTTCCCGTTTAATTTTTATTTCTTTATTGTGTGTGGAACATTCAAGCTCAAGTGCATCGACTACTGTCTCGGATGGTACTAAGATGGATATGATTATTTGGATTTTAAAAATGATGCATAGTAGTGTTAAAAATTTCTCAGAAATAATTACTTATCAAGACAATGTGAATCATGACCCTATTATAAATGACTTGTTACAACCATACAAGTTAGATTCACATATAATAGAAAGTGAAGTAAGAACATGGAAAGTATTTCGGATGGTAATATCTTGTGTCCATTCTTCATTATCGATGAATCTATTTTGTGGAGCCATAATTGATCCAATTCAAATCAAGTTTAAGGGTTTGAGTTAGATTTTCTCCATATTCTCTATTATTTAAGTTCATTTGTGTTTTCTAATTAATGAATTAATTTTTGTATCTAACGAACGTTGGCAAATTGTGTCAATTATCTCGTTAACGTTTGCAAATGCGGTGGATTGCAAGAGGAAGGTAGAATAGCCTCTTCGCCACTGGGGATAAGGAGAAAGCTAACCCATAATTATCTACCTTATGTTTGCCGATTATCTCAGTGTGCAACACTTTTCAAGTATTCATAAATATCAACTAACATCTTTATTATATGTCATACAGGACTCATAGCTGCATCATGTGGCCAATTAGGTTCTATCTTAAGAAGCTCTGAGAATCAGAAGAAAACCATGAATAACGGGGGCATTGAAGTCTCAATGACAAAAGTCTCCAGAAATGGTAACATGAAAATGACTGCGAATAGGCTGTCTAATGATGTTTATTTCAACGACAACGGCTTGTACTACTAAAGGCAGGTGAATTTCTTTGCGAACTCTTCCCGAGTGATTTGCAGATCTTATGTAGTAATTATACCAGGATTGCCTGTACAGTCATCTGAGTTCGGATAGGTATAGGGTAAAGGTTTTCTATCAGGAAAGAGAGCTGCATCCCAATCTTTTACAAAGGGTCGTCAGCTTCTCAACAAAAAAAAAAAAAAAAAAAAAAAAAAAAAAAAAAAAAAAAAAAAAAAAAAAAAAAAAAAAAAAAGAAAAAAGAAAAAA